AGGTGTTAAAGAAAACATCGACTTGTATTTTGCTTCAAAGCCAATTGATTTCTTTAATCAGAGCATTAACAACCTGATTGTAAGATGGAAAAGCACCATCGATAAGAACAGAGTCTATTTCGTTTGATAAATGTTTTGTTTTGATATATAAGTTGTTCGGGTTTTTTCACCTAAAAAAAGCGACATTAATTTCTTGACGACCTAATATATGTCAGTGCACAGAGCATCACCAACAATGTCGAAGAGTTTCCAGGGAACATCATTCTTATCAAGTAAGATTAAATCTCAGTAACAAGTGTCCCCCCCCCTCTTCCGTGGCTCAGCGGCAAATCTGAAGGCTTATGTCGCTGAAAATCGTGTTTCAATACCTGCGGTGGACAGAGCACCAATAGCCCATTGTGTAGGTGTGTGCTTAACAACAAACAATAAAAAGTACTTGCTCAGTATTATTTGAGCTAAACATACAAATGAGCTTGATGTACAGCTACGAATTCGAAAATCAGATTATTTCCATAGAAACAAAACTGTCTATTATTTAGCAACAAATTAGCAGTGTTAAGATTAACAGCGCGAAAAATTATCTGTCTATTCATTATTTCTTAACACATGCATGTAGAATTATTGAATACATCAAGTTACCGTTTCAGAAAAATAAAAGTGAAAATTAAAAGGCATGTAGAATATTTTCTGTAATTCTATCGCGGCACTCTGAGTGAAACAAAGGGGAACGTATCTCGCATAGGTATGTGTATGCGTAGTTGTACGACGATCGGCATTTTACCTTCCCTTACTCAAAAGCACCTTGGAATTATGTGATTCTGTTTTTCTCTCTCTCTGTATGTATGATAAGGCAATCAATTGCTAATTAAATAACATTTAAATAGAACGCTTAAATTGCAAAAGACGAATCATTTTAAGAACTGAGTAAAAACTAAATACGTCAATATGAGCTTGTAAACTTAAAGACGATTGCTGCTTTTCAATTCGTTTGATTGAAATCCTTCAACCAGTACTAAAGCTAAGTTACAAACAACCATACAGAGTAGTACCCACCCAAGGGATTGAATAAGCTAATCTCCTGAGCTAGTTGGTTGAGATGTCATTCTACAATTATAATTCATGTTTTCTCGTTGTTCACAAACTCGGTCCCAACTGAATGGATGGAGAAAGATACAATCGTCCAAAGTTTGTTGGAAATTGTTATTGACAATAACGCCACATAAGAAGGCGTTAGTACGTCTCGAAGCTTTTGTCTAAAAGTATAATTCTTATATATATATATATATTGCTCATAGATAGATATGCAATCGTGTCTTTTATCTAACATTTTCTGTTCTACAGTGTTCAACGTCCTCAAGACACGCCATCTCACAAATACCAGGATGAGCTTATCTTCACCTGTAAGGATAAAAATGGATTTTTTGCCGATTATATTCGTAATTGTCGCCGATTCTATCGTTGTGTAAACGGGAAAAAATACGAGTAAGTAAACTAATTTGTCCAACAAACAAGATACTTGTAAAGATGGACTCACGGCTTGGTTTCCACAGAGACACGGAGACTTTACTCCGTGAGACAGATTAAAAGATAGATTTAGATAGATTTATTAGATAGCGACAGGTCAGCCATCAGACAAATTCAGATAATAACTTAGTTACCATGACAAAGAGATGAGGCTAGAGCGATAACCCGGAGTAACCATAGCAACAAATAATTGCTCTTGTATCATTGATCAAAACTGTTTGTAACAACGACAACTTGGCAACGGATGGAGACACAGATACGTTATTAAACCATGGTTTTATGTAAGCAAAAATGCTAAATATCTAGTTATAGTAAAATAAATATCAAGTTTGAAACTTAACAAGATGAGATACCAGTAAATCAGTATATATACTATGTATATGTATAAAAGTGCTTTGATTTAACCAGTTATTTCTACTGACAAAGATTTAATGCTATTTCTAAGGTACAACTGTCCACCAGGGTCCGCCTTCGATGATGAAGTCAATGCTTGTATTAATGCTGAAAACGTGAAGTGTGAGTTTCAGAGGTAAACATCAAGAATAAATTAAACTCTAAGTTCATTTGTAGTTTTATAAGCTGAAGTCACTTGCATAAATAATTATTTTAGAACCAGTTATTGAGCTTAGACTATTCAAATGAGCATACGATAAAACTGGCAGACAATGTTATCTAACGGAATATCTTATATAATAAGCAAGTTATCTAATAGAACATCCTATAAACCTGTCATTATTATCCAAACGGATGATCTATGCATTAGACAAGTTGTCTAAAAAAATATCTGTTACGTATGGCAATTTATAATAGCCTAAAACTGAGTAAAATAAATGCCGATATCTATCCAATTTATGATATTTGCCAACAAGACTGATACACACAGTTTTCTTTTTCAATACAAATATGATTTAATATACAAACAACAATGATTTACATACAAAAGTTTCACAAACTCACAAGCAATATACAGTCTTCTTTCTAAACTGGAACTTCCTTGATATATTATCGAGGGTTGACGATGAGCGAGTTAAATTCGAGTTGACGTAGGTATAATTCACTTAACAGGGAGCTAGCTAGCCCTGTAGTTCTCGCTGATTACACGCTGATTACAGGTTGAGTTTCCACCGATGACGTTAGGTAATGTTTTCGTAAAAGTACTAATGTCTGATGGTTAATAAACTGATGTTAAATGGTTTGTAATGTTCGAAATTTATAAACGTTCCTGGTGAAATATCTTACGTTCCCCGATTAATAGGCGTTATAGCAATCATAGTTATAGCTTCCGAAGTCTATAGCACACCAACTATAGCAAATCAATAATAGATACTGGTTTTATAAAACTGTCAGTATTATCTACAGGAACACTATACAAAGGTATGTTGTATAATTGAGCATCGTATAAAACTGTCAGTATTATCTACAGGAACACTATACAAAGGCATGTTGTATAATTGAGCATCGTATAAAACTGGCAGTATTATCTACAGGAACACTCTATACAAAACGCATGTTGTATAATTGAACATCGTATAGAACTGTCAGTATTGTCTAAAGGAATATTCTATACAATAGTTAAGTTGTCTAACATTTGCTTAGCCAGTTGTGTTTCCATGCATTTGTTTCCATTTTCCGTTTCAAATTAATTCGTGTTTTCTTTTCTTGTTCAATAGTCATGATTTGCAGGAGACGCCGTCTCATAGATACCCAGTTGAACTCAACTTTAGCTGTGAGGGTAAAAATGGCTTTTTCGCCGATTTTATCCGAAATTGTCGTCAATTCTATCGCTGTGTGAACGGAAAAAAATACGAGTAGGTATACCTTAATTAAACTCGGATATTTGAATAACTTTTTTATTAATTCTATATTTGACAAACGTACTCAGACTCCGTTTCCTCATACAGGTTTGTAAATAGTAAATCATTCATTCTTATTATATTATAAATATATTTAGTGTATATTAATTGTTTTTATCATGTCACACCACAGTTGCTGGCTATTCTTCGTTTAAAAATATATTAGTTGACATAAGTTATTTGTTACAGAAGCACCCAGTACCCAATCTGGCTCATTTTCGTTTGTTTTATCGAAACAAAGTGAACTTACTGTTTGTGTTTCTCAAGTAACTCGTGATTAACGTTTGACACCCAATAATCACGTACAAATATAGTGTCAACATAGTAACAGGAATTGCGTTTGTGTGTGCTTTTTACGTGTTTTTAACGGTATCACCATAGCAAAAGATTTTGCGTTTTTACATGATTTTTAAGGGATATCACCAGCTTTGCGTTTATAATTGGTTGTTGTCACATCTTCTAGTTTAAATAAAGTACGAAAAAAACTAATATATATATGTATCATTTAGGGACGATGAAATAAGATATCATAATACACGTCTTAATGATATCAATATTACTGAATATCTATTTCTTATTCAATCATATAGAGGAAGATATGATTCAAAATCAAAAAGCAATTTAATGTACATTAAACACTTCAACTTTAAACGTGTCTTCAGTATTAGAAAAGTATTGATTATACAACACAACCTTTGTTCGAGGTCAGTATAGTCTTTGGTACACATGAGTATACATTCTTGTAATCACTTCATTACGCCCGGCATGACCAAGTAGTTAGGACGCTTGACTCGCGACCTAAGGGTCGCGGGTTCGAATCTCCGTCACATCAAACAGCCTCGCCCTTCCAACCATGGGGCGTTATAATGTAACGATGATAAAAGAGTAGCCCAAGAGTTGGCGGTGAGGGGGGATAACTAGCTGCCTTCCCTCTAGTCTATCACTGCTAAAGTAGGGATGGCTAGCCCACGTGTAGCTTTGCGCGAAATTCAAGCCAATCAATTTATTTTTGCACACATTTGCACACAGTTAAATCTAAATCTAAATAAGATAGAATCTAGCGACATTATTTAAATCAACAGTTTTTATTTGCTAAACCTTAAACTTAAAATTACAGGTTTTTTTCTTCACTATGTTTTATTGTCACGGTGGCCTCATATTTCTTCAAATTTGTTTAATATTTCAACTACATTACGCAAGATTTCAACCAAACTCAGTGTTTAATTTTACTATTGCGTTTTTTAAAGGTAACTTAAGATGCATAGGTTTAAAGATTACATTTTTTTTTGGGGGCGGGCGGGGTGATGGCGATTATTTAATTTGCTGGTAATCGTAATTTAATCAAGAAGCTTCAGGCGAAGATAAGAATAAACAACAGTTTATTCCGGACGTTTCACATTACGTGTAATCCATCTTCAGCAGGTTTCTTTGAACAAAACTTAAGTCATTACATTTTGTAGGACAAAGAAACAAAAATAGACGATAATAGATCAGTTAATCCAGAAGAGTTAACATATGTTATTAATGCGAAGTTAGAAAACATACATAATCATATACACGAAGTAAAACGCTGTTAACTTTCTCATCGTTCTCTTGGTCTTTTTTATTTGTTTTGTTAATTATTAGCTCTAAACGTCTTGACGAAACTGGAAAAGATTAGACATTTATTGCGTGTTCTTTTTTGCAGTATTTAACATACTTTATCATAGTTTTGTTTTGTTGTTTCACAGTGTGTAACACATTTGTATCGTAGTTTTATTGTTCTGTTTTACAGTGTGTATGTAACACAGTTTTATCATAGTTTTATTGCGCTTTTTTTTGCAGTGTATAACAAATCTTTATCTCAGTTTTATTGTGCTATTTCAAACTTGTATAGCACAATTTTATCATAGTTATATTATGGTGTTTCGCAGTGTGCAAAACATTTCTGTCATAGTTTATTCAGCTGTTTCCCAATTCTGTAACACATTTTGTTATTATAGTTTTATTTTGCTGTTTTACAGTTATCATAGTTTTATCATAATTTAACTTATGGTAAAATTAAAGTTTTGGCTCAAGAAAGCCTGGCATAAAGTAATGTTAACTGTTCTCTGTAAAATATAATGAGCTTACTATAAAATACCTCAAATGGAAACTTGTTTCAAAATCACGAAAATCGTTCATCAGTGAAAGTTTCGAACTGATTTCTATAGTTTTCATGGTTAAGGGTATTTCTTAACAAGATGAAGAAACATTAAATTGAAGCAACGCGGGTTAAAGAATATCTGTAAATGTAGTTTCTTGATGAGAAGTAAACAACTTTTTGTCATTGTAAACGGATGCAACTGGTAGGAGGATAAAAGCATTAAAACAAAAACCCTAGTGACTCAACGATAAGCTTCAGGGTTTGTAACGATAGAATTCGGGACTCAACCCTTCCCCTGTGGACACAGAGCAGATAGCCTATTGTTCAGCTTTTCACCAAAGCAAAAACAAGTAAACAAACCATTCAAGAAAAACTAACTTTAATTTTAAACTGTTGGATTATTGAGGCAAGCATAACACTGAACATCATAAATAAAGCGAATCTTTGAAATCAAGATACAATATTTTAGTAAGCTATAAACGAGAATCGAAATTCAAATTTAATAAAACGATTATTTTTAGTCCAATGCTCCTGAAAAGAAATGACATTTTGTTACTAGTTCACAACACAGAGGAACAGTTGTAGTCGGTTATATATAATAAATTTATATCACCATTCTCATTTAAAAAAAAGGTAAATGTTTCCAGTAGTACAAATTGCACTTTCTATAATATCTAGCTGTGTTGGTTTAGTAAAGAAAATATTTATTATTAAACAGTGTGATTAAAACTGTAGAAAAAAGAGCTTGTTGGCACAAATATTTCCAAACGAAGTACATTATTATTACTAAACAGTGTGATTGAAACTGTAGAAAAAAAACAGCTTGTTGGCGTAAATATTTCCAAACAAAGTACATTATTATTACTAAACAGTGTGATTAAAACTGTAGAAAAAAGAGCTTGTTGGCACAAATATTTCCAAACGAAGTACATTATTATTATTATTATTAAACAATGTGATTGAAACTGTAGAAAAAAAGAGCTTGTTGGCGTAAATATTTCCAAACGAAGTACATTATTATTATTAAACATGTGATTAAAACTGTAGAAGAAAAAGAGCTTGTTGGCGTAAATATTTCCAAACGAAGTACATTATTATTATTAAACAGTGTGATTAAAACTGTAGAAAAAAAAAGAGCTTGTTGGCGCAAATATTTCCAAACGAAGTACATTATTATTATTAAACAGTGTGATTAAAACTGTAGAAAAAAAAAGAGCTTGTTGGCGCAAATATTTCCAAACGAAGTACGTGCAGTTCGTGATATGAAATTGAGTAAGGCCATGTGTACTAGGTCAATGTCCTTAGTCATTCCACAGCTCTGCGCTTAAATGTTGTAGAATCACTTATCAGGATTTGCTACTCCCCCCCCCTTTTTTTTCTGAACATGCATGACAATTCTTGTGCGCCATCGAAATGTTATATTTTTTTCTATTTCTGGCAAAGCTACTAAGGGCTGCATGTCGCCGTCCCTAACTTTGAACTACTAGCCAGAGAGGATGCAGACAGTCGGCGTATTGTATAATTAAGACGTGTACTACGAAATTTTGTTTCATCGACTTTAAGTGATACAGTTAAAAGATTGACTGTCACTATCATAACACACCCTCATTAAAGTGAATGAAAAGTTTGTGGTATTGCACGGATCCGAGCCCCGCTCGTCAGCTCCAAAATCCGGAAATCACTGATCAAAATGAATGAAGGAGATTTAGTACGAATGAGAAGATATAGACCATATACACTTTAACAAAATATATTTTTCACTTCTGTAAAAATAAAGTACAAGATAGATGGTGGGTAACATAATAGAACATTTACCAGTAACATTTGTTAATATTATTCATAAGTTTGTTTATTATATTATTGTTGTTTTTTTATAACAGTAAAACCATTTACGACTAAACATTTTTTTTTAGGTATGCCTGCCCACCATCGACCGCTTTTGATACTGAAGTCAGCGGATGTATTGCTATTGAAAAAGCGAAATGTGAGCCTGCATCTAGTCAGGAGAATATTTTAATAAAATAGCTGTCTTATCTCCAAAGGTGCTGATGTGGCAACGTCGATGAATATTTCATATTATAAGTTAAACGTATGATATACATATAGGTTTGTTGTAATCTACCTCTTTTTCCTTCCATTTTGTTTCCCACTTATTCAATATGAAGTTTGTACAGTTTCCGAAAAGTTTTATTTTTATAAAAATATTACTAAATCTCGGAAGCTAGTTTATGTAAACACCAAAAATAATATTAGGTTTTAATGAAGATGTAAATGTCTAGTAAATATCTGTCTTTATTTGTGAAAATTAGAATTCAGAGAAAGTTAGCAAAAAAAAAAATAAAGCAAGATTAAAATTTCATACCAGTAAAACTATATGACATGCTGACCGTGTTTGTTGTGCCTTTGTACTTCTAGTAATATTAACTGTGCTTTTAATATCTTCGTAACGCTGACAATGTTGCTAGTACCCTCTTAAAGCTAACCATGTTTTTAATACCTAGCAACGCTTATCATACTACTACCCTACTAACGCTGAATGTTGATAATACCCTAGTAAAAGTAACCATGTTTCTAATACTCTAATAACGACAAGTAAAAGCTTGGAATGGTATATTCTTACATTGGGGGTGTGTCTTTGAGTCAGACTAGTTTAGAAGAATTCCACTCCTCATCAGTGACCCTGGACACTACCACCACTACTTTTTGTTAAACAAATGTTTAAACAACTCTATTCAATTAAGTACAAGCTGCCCAGTGTCGGCTAACAATACGAAGAATTAAATTGTGGCGGAATGCAACAAGTTCTTCAAATACCTATAGAATAAAAGGCTTCTTTTTTGTGAGTGTAAAACACTTAAATACACCATTTCGACTCTAATAACGCTTATCAGACTACTAACCTACTAACGCTAACCATTTTTGTAATACACTAGTAAAACTAACCATGTTTCTAATACTCTAATAACGCTTATCAGACTACTACCCTACTAACGCTAACCATTTTTGTAATACACTAGTAAAACTAACCATGTTTCTAATACTCTAATAACGCTTATCAGACTACTACCCTACTAACGCTAACCATTTTTGTAATACACTAGTAAAACTAACCATGTTTCTAATGCTCTAATAACGCTTATCAGACTACTACCCTACTAACGCTAACCATTTTTGTAATACACTAGTAAAACTAACCATGTTTCTAATACTCTAATAACGCTTATCAGACTACTACCCTACTAACGCTAACCATTTTTATTATACACTAGTAAAACAAACCATGTTTTTAATACTCTAATAACGCTTATCAGACTACTACTCTACTAACGCTAACAATTTTTGTAATACACTAGTAACAATGATTGTATTTGTATTGCCCAGTACTTCTGACCATGCTCGTTAAAATGGACATTATTTTAACAGGATTTACGACTGGCAACTTTCAATATTGAATAATACTGATTTATTAGTTGCCGAATACACTTGTATTTCTAATTCTTATCTTAATTAATTGCTATTAAGAGTAAGTCATTTTATATACTTTCAACGAATACTTTATGTTAAACTGGTTTTACTTCTTATAAAAAAAAAACTGCTCTTCGGCTAAACATGTGTATATTTAGTGGGAAGAGAATAAAAGCAGAATAACATGTATCTTTAGCTTCTTATAGGTTTTAAATATTTTCGTTTTTATTCCCAAAATCTAGTGTTTAGTTTCACTGAAGCAGGCCAAATAAACATTTTGATAATTATCAGCCAGCAAGGATCGTGAGTTTGTTCTGCTAGTCCAAACTATTATTTTGTATTTTACCTTGAACCACTTTAAACGTACGAATTTATTGCTGAGGACTTCGGTTTACAGGTGAACGTATATCAGTCGCTAAACAAATTTACGGAGTGCACAGTTGTTGAACTGAAGATAGTTAACGATTTGTATTGTTACATAACCAACCACACTATCAATGAAGAACTGTGTTTCGTCTGGAAAAGAAATGCTATAAACGTTGGAGCTTATATCCCATTTCCATACGAGTAGAAACCAGAGAGACACAGTTTCCACGAAAAACACTAATAAAAGGCTAAAATTGGAGAACTGAAAAAAAAACCTTTAATGAAAATTATGTTATAAAGTAATCAAACGTATTATAATAATAATAATAAGACTATGATCACCATATGAAAAGATTAAGAAGCAGCACTCGAGAAACATGAAGAATATAAATTAAAGTACTTTTACTAGAGTCAGAAAAAAGAATTCCCCCAAAACTCGTATATTTTCCTCTTGTAAATAAAAATTCTAAGGTTAAAAAGGAATAACTTCAATCCTTGTGAACTTTAAAAAAATACCCCAAACTTGAGCACTTTCTAATAGTTGACTGTTCATCTCTATTTCGCTGAAGAAAAATAGTTAATTATTCGTAAGTGCTCGAGTTTTGGGTCTTTCTTTGAAATTCATTACACTTTTTGTGTGTGATCATGTGTGCTTTATGGTTATTATAGACTGCGACAGGTAGAGCTTATTATTTTATTATCTTATATTTCAATTGTTTAAAAAACACACTTAGATTTCACTTTTTCCTGAGAAAGTCCTCAGGAAACTCCACTGAAAAAGCAGAAGGACATACAGATGCGGGTAATAATGCTTAATTTGAAATTGTAGGACGTGACATTAAAGTTTGTTTATTTCGAGTCTTCTAAGGGCTAATATCTTGAAGGTATAGACGGAACGAAAAGACTGTTCAATTTTTAGATGTTTTGAATGTGTTTCATTCAAATTCTTTAGCAAATTTCATTAAAGATAAACTAGCTTATCTTCATATGCTTTCACGCTGTGCCTTTCTTCGTGAAAGGTAGTATCAGTTCACGAATCAATACAGACAGAAACAACCATTCAAGACGATTTGAAGCCGAACCATGCAAAAGAAGGGCGAAGGTAGTATCAGTTCAGGAATCAATACAAACAGAAACTACCATTCAAGACGATTTGAAGCTGAACCATGTGAAAGAAGGGTGAAGGTAGTATCAGTTCAGGAATCAATACAGACATAACTTACCATTCAAGACGATTTGAATGTGAAATTACCATTAAATAATTAACGTAAGGACAAAATAGAATTATAGATAACTTGTGTTACTTAGAGAATTAGTTAAATAACACCAACAAAAGTTTTCAAAAAGTTAAAATATTAATTTATGGTTATCACACATATTTTAATGCAGTATTTAGGATAAGAATCTGCCTTGGCCCAACTTGAATCCAATTATACATCACTGGGATGTTATGGACAGAAATAACAGAACCAGAAGTCTTATTACACTTGGAACTGTTTGCAAGTGGAGTGGCAATCTATTCCACCATAAATAGGACAACTGTCGGTGATAAGTACTAGTGTTAGAGTACAGGCAGTGATAAGACACTGTGCCAATTCCCAGCAACAGAAACACGAGCGTGATGTCTTAATTCTTTGGATAATAGCGTATATAATTGTTAGAAGAATCAACCGTTGCACCAACTGTCATCCATTACAGAGAAAAATATACACAGCTGCAAAAAAGCGAAACTATAAAATCACATAAACATTTTATTTATTTGAGCTTTTTCTTACATGATTACTCTAACGCAAGTAAAGCGCATGTCTGGCGAATTAGCGAGTAACATATTTTAAGTCTAAAAATAATACAATTAAAGAAAGTGTTAATAGAAACTAATAAATAGCAATGATATACACTTACTTCTTCCACTATATGAGATAAAATTTAATCTGTTTAAACGTGCTATCATTTTACTTCATAAATATACGAATACATCCACTTTACAGCAACAACGTAAAACGAAATACAGATCACAACTTTAGCAAACAAGGTACTATTTATTGAGAAAGAAAGGGAAATATAATTTAAATTAGAGAGTAAGATATGTCGTGTTTTGTATGTGTTGGTTATTTTACTAATTTGATTAATCTTATTCTGAACCACGTATTTTGAAAGGAAAAAGCTAGTTTTATATGATTTTTGCACAAGTTCACACGTTTCCCTATTCTTACATTTCAGCAATAAAATTTAAGTTTCGTAACAATTTTTTTTTACCATAACCATTTTTTGCATCAAATTTTATTATTTTCTATCCATCAATAGCAAAATGTATTTTTAAAAAACGTTCATGTTTCAGTAAAACTGGTAATTCGAGCAAAGTTAACTGTTTCATCTTGTAATATAAAAATGCAGATACTAATACTCTTACGATATACGACAAGTCCTTGCCATCTTGAGTATAAGTGCACAGATTGCACAATCTGTCTTATACGTGATGTTATTACGACTTATCTAAGGTAACATTTGAGAACAAAATTCTCACAAGAAACAGTGTGCAAGCATATATCTTTAAATGGCCATACATATATCTGTACACTGATATTTCATTTTTTAAGTATCACTTTTGCCTTTACAAACGATGATAGAAACTATTATTTGCGTAGCAATTATACAGGCCTGCGATGGTTTTATTGTCTTGTCTTTATTGTCGTGTAATGATATCCATTTTTCTCCATCACGTACAGATTTTTTACAAAACATCATAATGCAATACATAAAAGAAAGATCACAACACGTAATTTTGAGGCTAAAACACGTAGATTTCATATAAAAAAAATCAGGATGAATGAGGATGCATATTCGTTCGACATCAATGTTCTTCCCTTTTCTTCACTTGTATTTTATTTAACCAACATAATAATAAAAATGTTCATTGTGGTGAACAAAATAATAATTTGATCTAAGTAAGAGTTTTTT